TCAGATGTGACCTCATTCCTATTCAATGGGATTGAACCTTTCAAAATAAAAATGATATAATCCCATCCTTGGTCCTCTTGATTTTAGTTAAAAATCTAAAAATATCCTTTTTATCCACTATTGGGCTCAATCCAAGCTCAATTTCACTCAAACTTGGGTCAATGTTTCCTACAAGCCATGGGGTTTATCCAAAGCCCAATGTGGATTAACCCAAAACCCCTAATCTAGGATTTGAAGCGTTACAAATAAAGTTTACTATAATAAGTAAAAGTCAAAGGAGTACAATTTATAATCATGAAAGTAATTTTTATCGTTATTTTTGTAATATTATATATTCTATTGTATTTATAATAAATTAATATATTATAAAATATTTTTTATTGTATTTTACTCATTTTTAAATTTATATTATTTTAATAATTATATTTTCCTTCAAAATTTATTTTAAATATTATATAAAATTCAGAATATCTAAAATTTTATCAAACGTATTCAATCAATATTGTACATGATCTAAAAAAATTAGTAATATCATAATAAATTATCTTTATTTGATCATCTTTGGAATATATATAAATAAAACAATGTTTTTAAATCAATTTATTTAGTTTAAAACTTGACAAGAACCTTAAAATATTTAAATTGGATATTTGATTGATTCATTAAAAAGATGTAATGACAAAGTCAGTTTTTGACGTTTGCACAAATAATTATTTTGCGTGTTAATCTTAATATTTTTTTGTCAAAATAACATTTTTTGGATAAAATCCATTAATTAACTAACATTCAACTTATATTGGTAACATGACATTTATAACATGACATTTCTATAATTGTCAAATGATTGATGTGATATATATCACATCATCAATTAAACACATATAAAAATATCACATCAATATTAAATATTAATTGTTAATCGATTAATGATTTTTATCTAACAAATATTATTTTAGTTAAAAATTAAAATGTTAAAAGATTAAAATGTTAAAAGATAAAGAATAAAATGATGATTTACATGAGCTAATTTTTAGATTATATCTATTGAAAAAGAAAACCGGGAATCAAAGTCGAAGAACCGTCATGACTTTAGTTTGAGGGTGTGAAAGTCTAAAGCACGGCAACATGTAATAATCAAATCAAGGGGCTATCCAAGACAAAAATGACACTACACCGAATTCTTAAATCTTAATAATCTTTTAACTTCCATGGACTGCCACAATTTTCAACTGCCATGGAGGTTGAGTTTTCTCTTTCTTGGGTGGTGGAGCCCTCCTTAGTGACCTTTAAAGGGCAATCTCATTGACCCAATTGTATGAAACTAGAGTTGACCATAATATACAATTTATTTAATAATTTTTGCTATGGCGTTGGGGGCACCTTTTCTCAGTTTTTGTTCATCTTTTTAGGTCTCATTTCTTGTAAAATATTTATTAATTAATTAATCTTCTCCTTTCTCTTCTGGTGGCGTAAATGATAAGGGTATGCACCCAAAGTTGCTCAGTTTGCCAATTGATGCCGCTCTTCCTCTACTTGTTTGATGATTCATTTTATACGGGTTTAATGTAAGATAAAGTTTGTATCGTCTTGCACCTCGGTTTGACCCCAGAGCCTCAACATATACTACGAGTCTCTCTTCTTTGCTCTAATGAATCATACAAGCTTTTTAGAGCAGATCAAAACAAAATTTAAGACATGAACTTTGATAATTAAATTGATCAACTTGAGCCGTAATATCTTCGTAATTAGTTAATTAATTTCATATTCATATATATTTAGAGTATTTTAAATATAAAAAAGACAAAAATAACACAAAAAACTAGTTGCTATGTGTGAATTAATAAAGTTAGGTGTAACCAACGGAGTTGATTCAAGTTATAAGTAATTTGATATCGCTTAAACAAATCTTGAGTACTTGTGTATGTATAAAATTTTTGCTGGATACTCATCTACCAAAACTAAATGTGTGATCTATGTCATTTTAGATAAAACTTTAAAGCGAGAGGAGGAAAAATAAAGCTGGGTGTCGGCACAATAACAAATCTTTGTCATTCTTAAAAATAAAAGGAAAACAACATCTCTGACTCAATAAAAATAATGGGAAAAGTAAGGACTTAATCTTCTCAGCCGACAGTACCAACCAACCCAAAACTCAACTGCCAAAGTCTCCCAAATTCTGAAATAAGTTAAAAATAAAAAGTTTCGGAAATCGAGTATTACTTTATAAGTTCTGATATAGTTAAAAATTGAAAAAAAAAATAAAAAAAAATGTAATTTTCTATATACATAATGGATATAAATATAAAAAATATAAAAATTTAATGCCATAAAATTCGAATGTTCAAAAATTACTTAGGAAGGAAAAAAAAAGAAAAGAAAAGAATACCATAGGTAGCACATGCACGTGCTCCAGAGCAACATGGAAGGAGCATTCGGTCTGTTTTTTAATTACATTAACATTGGGAGACTGTACATTGAATGTGGTCCATGTTATCTTCGTCTATGTTTATAACTCAAAATCAAGACGAGATTTTTGTTCAAAAAAAAATCAAGACAAGATTTGGTTTTCGTGTCAAACAACATTAATTATCGTAGTGATGAACATTTTTATATTTTATGGTTGGATTAGTTTTTCTTTCTTTCTTTTTTCCTTCCTTTATGGTCGGTTAGATTTCTTTAATTTACTAAAGTTTGGTACTTTTTACCAACTTTATGTTTTAACCCTCGCTTATATAAAATTATAAGTAATAGTTTATCAGGATAAATCTCAAAGTACACATGGATTTTAGTCTAATACACAATATGATAATTGTAACTTCGATTGTCTACAATTAGGGGTGTGCAAATCCGGGTACCCAGATTTTCGGGTACCCGGAACTTTCGGGTCGACGATTTCTCGGCCCGTGTCCCGACCCGGATGTTACGGGTATCCGGTAATCGGATACCCGGATTTTGCGGGTACCCGGTAATCGGGTACCCGATACCCGGTTTTAAATTTTTTATTTTTAAATTATTAATTTAAAAAAATATATACACAAATTTAAATATTCGAAACTTCGAATTACATACTCTAATATCCGAACATAAAATTTAAAAGTTCGAAATACAAAATATAATAATCCATAATATAAATAATTCATTATATTTTATATAATTATATATAAAAAAATAAAAACTAACCGGGTACTCGGGTAACCGGGTACCCCCGGGTACCCGGAAAAACTAGATTTTGTGACCCGGGCCTGACCCGGGAAATGTCGGGCCTGGTAATTTTTTTTAGAGAATTACCTAGTTTTTTTAGATCCGGGTCGGCGGGTCGGGTCAACCGGGTCGGGTAATTTTGCACACCCCTATCTACAATCACACATAAAATATCAATTTGATTATATTTTAATAAAGGTATAGTGTAAAAAATCAATGTAATGTTTCATAAAATAATCACTCAAATTCATTTTTTTAGTGATCTTCGAAAATTTATTTTTGGACAAAATACATTTGGTTAGAAGAAAATCTTTAGTTGACTAATGATCAATACTTGACATTGACGTGACAAATCTTATGTATTTAAAGTGATAACGTGATAATACCAAGTCATCACTTTGAATATATGACAATGTCATATCATTATTTTAGAAACGTGATATATATCATCACGTAATCACTTTAGACACGGGGTATATATCACATTATCATTTTGGACATATGACATGTATCACATCATTATTTTGGACATATAATATGTGTCGCACCATCACTTTCAACATGTGACAATGTCATGTCATTTATTTTGAACACATATGACTCATAACGTCAGTAATAAGAATTAATTATTAATCAATTAACAGTTTTAATCTAACAATGAGTATTTTACCTCAAAATAAAAAATTAACGATATAAATATTTTTAAAAAAATAGAGGTCAAAGCGGCTATTTAATCAAACATTAAAACATTTTTTTGACATTATGTCTTTTAACAAACAACTAACACTCTTTAACTTAAAAAACCAATGGTGTTATCGATCTAACACCATTTTATTTTATGTTTATATATTACATTCATAAATAATTATATTTACTATCTGAGCAGTTTTTTATGGTTTTTGATGGCAAAACTAAACTATAAATACCCATTAGCATAAGGTCTTAAGAATCAATTCATTCAAAGCATTTTCCACATTCAGAGAGTTGGAAAGCAATACATCATCTAAGTGAGGTTTTTGAGTGCTAAGAAGATCCTTGGTGGTTCTAGTTTTTGTGTAGCCAAGTTTAAAGTGTTCGACGGTGGTTCATAGTGGTTCGACGAATTTGACGGTGGTGCATTCAATTCCCGAATTTCGACATACGATGTAGGCAATGGCTCGAGATATTTATACCTATCTCTTTTCCGTTGCGTTTATGCTCAGTGTGGATGAAAGCATGTCTAAAATTTGGTATCCGAGCATGGTCAAATCTTTTTCTTACCTGATTTTTGAAAGTTTGCATGTTTCTCGAATTTTGATGCCATGATTTTTAAAATTGGAGAAAAATGTGTTGCAAACTTTGTTGCTAAAATCGTTGGATTTTATTAAGGAAATATTTCTAAAATTAATTACGTTGAAATAATTTTATAAAAAATTTAGAAATAGTGTATGCTTTTATGTGCCTAAATTATGATTAAATGTATGTAAATTATATGGTTGTTAATAACATATATTTTAGGTGTATGAAACTTAAATATTATTGTATAAAGTATCTAACAATAGAGCCTTATATTATATTTCTAGAGATCTAAATAATTTTATTTAATTAGAGAATTAGCCAAAGCAACTTTGATTAAATAAAATTACTTATTATGGTAATTATCTCATTAAGACTATGGACAGATGATGTTGCATGATGAATTAGCAACAATTTTGAATGAAATTTAAGGTTAATATCTAGCTAAGTGATTTACATAATTTTATTTAGTTAAAAACTAGCCACAACATCTTTAGTTAAATAAAATTACTAAAGTTAAAAATCATACATAAAGTTTAGATATTAAATCCTATTACACAATTTACCAAGGTAAAATTATTAGATGCCTTACATAGTTTCCCACATGAATTATGAAAGTGAATTTAATAATTTTATCAAAGAGATAGAAATTAATTCTATCATAAGATGAATCTAATCGAATTAAAAATTTAGTCCACATGCAATTTTTATGTCACTAGATTCATTGTTTGCATAATTTGCATTGGTAAATTATGGTTTATGTTTGCCTCAAATTTTGATTAAGCATGTATGTCATTATTTCTTGTAGTTTTGCAACCCATGAATATGTCTAATAATAGAGTAGATATCCATGAATTAACCAGTGAGAATTTTAAGATCTACAATGAGAGTATTCTTCTTTAATTGGGGTGTTTGGATATTGACTATGCCATAAGGAAATTTGAGCTACATATCACTGAAACGTGCACTCAAGTTGATCTTGCTCTATATGAAAAGTGGGAGCGATCTAATCGCCTTAGCATTATATTTATTAAGAGTAAGGTTCCTACTGATGTTCGTGGCTCACTTGAACATTATGAGAATGTACAAGAACTATTAATGGCTATTGAAAAACAGTTCAAAACTTCTCAAAAATCTTTGTTTATAACCCTGATTATGAGGTTCACAACCATAAGGTTCACTACTATGAAAGGCATACATGATCACATCAATAATATGCAAAATTTATCAACTCGACTTAGAGAATTGGAGGTTGAAAAATATGACTTTTTCCTGATGCACTTTATATTGAACACTCTTCAACCTCAGTATGGGCCATTTAAAATCTCCTATAACACACATAAGGATAAATGGTCTGCTGATGAAATTTTGACCATGTGTGATCAAGAGGAATGAAGACTCATACTGGAGATGGGAGAGAGTGTACTGACATGTACTCAGGGAAAGAAATCAGTCCAAGCCAAGCTAAAGGGGAAGGTTAAAATCCAACCTCAAGCTAACATTAAGAAAGAGTCCAAGTGTTTCTTTTGTAAAATAAAGTGACACCTAAAGAATGACTGTGTCAAGTTCAAGAGCTGGCTTGAAAAGAAAGGTAAATCAATCTCACTCATTTTCTTTGAGTCAAATATGGTTGATGTTAATTATAACACATGATGGATTGAATCTAGTTCTACAATCCATGTCTCAAATTCCTTATAGGGATTAAGAAACAAGAGGGAACCAGTGGAAGTTGGGCGATACATCTATTTAGGAAATAAGATGTAATCACATGTGACATCTATTGGGACCTACGAATTAGTGCTTAGTAGTGGCTTTGTTTTAATTTTAGAAAAGACTTTTATATTCCAAGATTTTATAAATAAGAAATTTATAAAACAAATTGAATTCATTGTTTGAAAATTTAGAACAATAACACAATGGTGCAAGTCTTGAAATAAAAATTAAATTTCTTTTCTAAAATAATACCACTCATAATGTTATGCACACTCAAACTAATTATAAACGTTGTGTTATAAATAAATATTCCTCTATTTTGTGGCACCAGAGATTAGGACACATCTCCATTGAAATGATAAAGAGATTAGTGAATGATGAGGTACTTAGTACCTTAGATTTTTCTGATTTTGACACTTGTATAGACTGCATTAAGGGTAAGCAGACTAACAAGTCAAAGAAAGGTGCCAATAGGAGTTCGACCATATTGAAAATTATCAATTCTAATATTTGTTGCCCAGATATGGATGTACAAGGTCAGAAATGCTTCATCACTTTTATTGATGATTACTCACGATACATGTGTCTCTACATGCTTCATCATAAGAGCGAAGTATTAAAAGCTTTTAAGGTTTTCAAGGCTGAAGTAGTGAAACAATGCGGTAAGCAAATTAAGATCGTGAGAACTGATAGAGGTGGTGAGTATTATGGTATATATACCAAAGATGGACAAACACCTGGTCCAATTGCTAAGTTTCTTTAAGAAAATAGTATAGTTAACTAATACACCATGCCAGGATCACCTGATCAAAATGGTGTTGCAGAAAGAAGAAACCGAACTTTAATGGATATGGTACAAAGTATGCTTAGTAGCTCTAAGCTATCTAAGTCTTTATGGGTTGAAGCTTTCAGAACAATTGTGTATATATTAAATTGAGTTCAAACCAAAGTTGTCCCAAATATGTCTTTTGAGTTGTTTAAAGGTTGAAAATTGAGTTTGCGACATATATGTGTATGAGGATGCCTGTCTAAAGTGGGAATTTATAATCTATAAGAAAAGAAACTAGACCCGATGACCATTAGTGGGTATTTCATTGGATATGTCGAAAGGTCTAAAGGATACAGATTCTATTGTTCATCACATAACACTAGAATTATGGAATCAAGAAATGTAAAATTTCTTGAGTATGACTCAATTAGTAGGAATGATCTACCTCAGGACTCAATTCATGTAGATCAACCTTCTACTTCAAGTGAGAGATTGGTTATCATACAGAGTACCCCTCAAGTACAATTGGGTGTTAAATAACCAATTAATCAATCACATTTCATAAGCTGCTGAAAATATTCTAGTAGATCAAATTGTTCAAAAAATTCCAGAAATTATTAAACATCCAGTTGAACAACATGATCCACTAGAAAATGTTGATTCGATATTAAAGAGATATACTAGAAAAAGAAAATCATCAATTTCTAGTGACTACATTCTGTATCTACAAGAGTCTGGCTTTAATGTTGGAGTTGAAAATGACCCCGAGTCATTTTCATAAGCTATGAGCTACAATGAATCAAAATTATGGTATAATGATATGGAAGATTAGATGAATTCTATGAAAGGCAACAATGTTTTGGATCTTATACCATTGCTCAATGGTGTAAAAGCCATTGGATGTAAAAGGGTCTTCGAAACAAAAAGAGACTCAATGAGCCACATTGAAATATATAAAGAAAGACTCGTTGCGAAGGGATTCACTTAGGCTGAAGGAATCGATTACACTGAGACTTTTAGTCCAGTATATAAGAAAGATTCCTTATGCATCGCGTTAGCATTAGTAGATTATTTTGACCTTGAGTTACAACAAATGGATGTGAAAACTACATTTCTCAATGGTGACCTAGAGGAAGAGGTATACATGAAACAACCTAAAGGATTCTCCTATAGTGATGGTGAACAATTGGTATCCAAGTTAAAAAATATATAGACTGAAACAAGCCTCCCGATAGTGGTATTTAAAATTCCATAAAGTTATCTATTTATTTGGTTTTGTTGAGAACATCATGGATCAATGTATATATACCAAAAGGACAGTGGGAGTAAATTTTGTTTTCTTATCCTATATGTGAATGACATTTTACTTTCAACAAATGACAGGGGTATGCTATATGAGGTAAAACAATTTCTTTCTAAAAATTTTAATATGAAAGATATGAGTGATGCATCTTATGTCATTGGCATTAAGATTCATCGTCATAGACATCGAAGTATCTTAGGCCTATCTCAATAAACCTATATCAACAAAGTTTAAGAAAGATTTCAGATGAAATATTGCTCACCTAGTGTTGTTGCTATCATGAAGGGTGATAAGTTCTTTTTGAACCAATGCCCGAAGAATGATTTTGATAGGGAGAAAATAAAAAAAATACTCCATATGCTTCAGTTGTTGGAAGCTTGATGTATACTCAAGTCTGTACAAGACCTGACATTGCATTTGTAGTTGGAATGTTGGGAAGATATCAGAGTAATCTGGGTATTGACAACTAGAAAGCTGCAAAGAAAGTTTGAGGTACTTAGAAGGGACAAAGGACTACATGCTTACATACAAAAGATCAGATAGTTTGGAGGTGATTGGCTACTCCGATTCAGACATTGCTAGCTGTGTTGATTCATGAAAATCAACATTAGGTTGCATATTTATGTTTTCCAGTGGATTTATATCTTGGAGGAGTGTCAAGCAAACCTTGATTGCTACTTCCACTATGGAGGCTGAGTTCATTTCATGTTTTGAGGCTCCTTCACATAGAGTGTGGTTGAAGAGTTTCATTTTTTGGGCTTAGACTTGGGGATTTGATATCTAGGCCAATAATTATATATTGTGACAATTTTGCTGCTGTCTTTAAGGCTAAGAATAACAAAAGTGGAAGTCGAAGTAAACACATCGACATTAAGTATCTAGCCATAAGGGAACGCGTTAAAGAAAAGAATATGGTCATTGAGCACATTAACACTGAGTAGATGTTAGTTAATCCTTTAACTAAAGGCATGTCACCACATAAATTTAAGGATCATGTTATTACTATGAGAGTTGCTTCCATTTTTAAATTTTCGTTGTAGAACGATTTTAATGAAACTCTATAAAGTTTGACGTTTCTCATATTTGTTGTGTGCACATTAATTTTAATTATTCCGAGAAATATCACTAAAGTTTTGACCTAAAAGAAACATTGGGTTTATTCATTAAGAAATTTGGCTAAGTGTTAAGACATGATATATTGTGAAACATGGAAGATATGACTCAACTGTAGGAGGAAATATCATTATGATTATTGCATTATGTTTTGACTTTGAGTTCTCTTGGGCAATATGAACCAAGTGGGAGAATGTGAGCAGTTTAATTAACTGCCCATGTTTTTTGTTCATATCACCACACCTCAAGTAACGATGCAATTCCACTATCCATTTAGGTGATGTGCATGGACGTGTGAAAATTTATTTTAAATAATGGGCAAATTTTTTATTGATTTTATGGCAAAACCAAACTATAAATACCCATTAGCACAAGGTCCTTAAGCATCAATTCATTCAAAGCATTTTCCACATTTAGAGAGTTGGAAAGCACATCTAAGTGAGGTTTTTGAGTGCTTAGAAGATCCATGGCAGTTCTAGCTTTTGTGCAGTCAAGTTTAAAGTACGCGGTAGTGGTTTTTGGTGGTTCACGGTGGTCCATTCAATTCCCGGATTTCAACATACGGTGTAGGCAATGGCTCGAGATATTTATAACGATATCTTTTCCACTACGTTTATGATTAATGTAGATGAAAGC